GTTCACTTCATACTGGTTTCAGGAAAAAAATTAAAATCTTCAATATTTGAAGGTCGATTTATATTAGTGGGAAACAAATCCGAAAGAAAATTCGCCTTAGCATCGGGTTTCGATACGAGTATTTTTTTTTTTCGATACCTGCTCAGTACTTGGTTCAAAGGTATCGATACCAAAATTACTTAGTATTGAACAAAAAGTATCGAGTATGTACTTGTATTTACTCGTATCGTTTCATCCTTAGCCTTATCTCAGATTTTGATTTATGATAGGGCGTTTTGGAACGAAATTGTGAGATAGGGCGTTTTTAAATCAAATTCTGAAGTAGGGCAAAAGATTTTCTGAGATAGCGCGTTTCGAACCAGTTGCCGAGATAGGTCGATCTTCCACTCAGCCGTCGATATGCCGCTGATAAGTTGCTCGAAACTGTCGAACTGCTAGATCATCGCTTTAGCTCATACTAGTTAATGAACTGGTATTTTTACCGACTACAGCGTGTGTATGTGGTTGTATTGAAATGTACATGAATATGTACATTAGGTCGGGCCAATTTGTATGGTAGATTTTTTCGACCATGCGCGTATAGCACAAAAGGATTCTACGTGCAATTCTAAGCAAATTTGCCGAAGTAACCATGGGTCTGAAATGCACTTTGGAGGTTTCCAATTTGCTTAGAATTACACGTATAATCTTCATATGCTATACGCGCATAGTCAAAAATATCGACCCGCCCTAATGTACTCCTACATACTTCTGTATGTATGTATTGTACTTTATGCTGCTGGGTTTTCTTGTACCTGAGGCACTTATCGTTAGAATTTCGTAGCGTAATTCAAAATGAGAGCGTCTCCAGCAACTCGACTTCAATTTTCCGCTTTTCCCTGTCAATCACTCAGCTAAACACTTCAAACTCACTTGACTGCATTCATTCGCTCACTCATTGCATGTCTTGTATTTATATAAAAATTGTCGTTCATTAGAAAAATATAAGCTTTGTAAGATTTTTTTTTTGTACTACTTAAGAGGAAAAGTAATTAGCGATTGTTGACTAATTAGATATTTAGATTTTTTTTACTATAAGTAAAAGCCGTCTCAATCCATTTTCCTCAAAGACTTAGGGGAAGTGAAAAGTCTGGCGGAGAGTTCAGAAAAAGGGATAAATTAAATGTGTTGCGAAATAAAATCAAACAGCCCTTAAAACAAGCCTACATAATGGAATTCACATTAGGGTGTCCCAAACTGTTGTTTTGCGAAATTCGATACGCATATCAGCTATGTATGTTATTGCTTTTTGGCTAGTATAACTACATAAACTAAGTTTTTATTGTCGTAGTACACACTTATGTATGTATATTTAGTTTTAGTGTTTCATAGATACTGAAGGTAAGAAAATTCGAAGAAGTTTTGTTAAGATTTTCGAATACAATTTTTTAATCTGTATCCTAATGGCACTGTTATACACGGTGTCCTAGAGCACTCCCTCTAAAACCGAGTGAAATGGTTTTCATTGAAGAACGCGAAAATATGACCTACCAAATCGGTGATGCTCTATCTTTTGGCGGTATTACCGACTTCCGGATTTTTTATGCGGTTTCAACCGGAAGTGGGTTAAACTGACCGGAAGTCCATTTTTTTTAAATTAGACATACATACATACATTGAATAAGGCACTTTCGAGAAAAAAGATTCAAACAAAAGTTACATACTTTTATCCTTAGAATCCTAATCAGTAGTAAAATCATATACACTTAGGTCTCTTTTTATGCGGATTTGAATTCATGCGGTTTTTCAAACCTGAATGCTGGAACGCATCCGCTGTATGAAAGCAAAGAACTTTTTAATGCGGATTTCTGAGGAACGCATATACCGCATAAAGAAAGACCTAAGTGTATGTATAATTTGAAAAAATGGACTTGCGGTCAGCTTAACCCACTTCCGATCGGCCCCCGATTTGGTTGGTCATATTTCCGCGTTAAAAAAAAAAAAACATCACCCTCCATTTTAGAGGCGTTGGACACCCTGTATATTTTTTGTTTATTTTTGTAAACCGAAGTCCCTTGGTTAATCAGCTTTTAAAGAAGAAAACATCGGCAAATCTACATATATGTACCAAAGAAACAGAATTGGGGCAAAAAGCCGACAGTATTTGACTATCAGATCACGGAGATCGACTTAGGCCTCAGAAGGTACTTCAACCTAACTCCGTCTTAAACAGCGATGAGATTTCAAATTTAACAGATGGAACTAAAGTTGACTGAATAATGAAATGGATTAGCAACAAGAGTTTACGGGGTGTGTATAGCTCAGCGGTTAGCGTTGCTGGCTATGCACATCGATTATGCGGGTTCGATTCCTGCTATGCACATAGAAGAAGAAGTCTAATTAGGAAATAGCAGCTATAACTTCTAATACTTAGACTTTGTTGTTTTGCTCCGTTTTTCCTAACAAACAAATCGGGGTGAAAAGCTCAAAAACATTGCTAAAAAGTAAATATTATTACATCACAATAATAATAGCAAAAATAGCTTACATACTTTCACGTTTCGATTAAGGGTCGGCAATAACTACATAACTCGACAAGAGTTTAGAATTATCGAAAACTCCCACAATCGCTTAGACAAGACATCGACAATCTTCGTCAGATTCGGAGCCACATAAAGCAGTTTCTGTGTTAGTTGTTAAAATTAGTTATAATCCATTAAATACTTCCTGTGCTGCTGGTGCACACTTTAAAGTTAGCGGCTCAGATTTTTGGGGAACCATTTCTTTATGAACGTAGCCAGATTAGGAGCCGGAAGAACTAGGCGGTGATCTAATGGCATTTAGGGTAGAAATCTTCTCGTCACGACTCCGTTACTGAAAACTAAAAGCACAGGCTTACTACGTTTGAGCTTAAGTACTCGTAGTATCCCGGAAAAAATCGTCAAATTATTCAGGTGCGAGAACTATTGTCGCAAGGTGTGGTAAATAATTTCAGAGCCACTTCTTCTTCAGTACGGGTTATTTTCATGCTACAGCAAAAAAAAAACTTTTTTAAGGTAAGGCTATGTTATAGTATTTAGACCAAAAGCAAAAAACATACAGGGTATGAATTAAAGCCTGATTACGGCAACTTAACTTAACTTAACGGAACGTAGAACTTAGAAAATCAAAATGCAACAGATTCAACGTGGCATTAAGTTACGTTAATTTTCGGCGGTTTAATTGTAAGCAACATCTATTTAAGAGAATGTTTAAGTGAGAGCCTATAAGTTACGTTAAGTTTCCATAATCAGACCTTTAGACTGTCTCAAAAACCATAGTTGGTTTTTTTCTAACGCACACCCCCTCACTTTATTGGTTTTGTCTTAAAAACTATCCAAATCAAATTTTATGCAATTCGGACCACGGCAACTCGTGCCGACTTGCAATCAAAGTTATCAGAATAAGCTTTAAGCAGTTTGCGTGTTTGGTTAACTTACTCATTTTACTTCTATATACATACGGAGGTATTACTATACTGCCTACATAATATTAAGTAAATTTGCGTTTTTGGTTTTTTTTTTTTTATCAGATAGTCATTTTTTCCAAAGGACCATACATTATAATGTATTTCCAAAAGTTTACACAAAATATGGATATATGGGTAGCAATTGAAAGAAGAATTCAAAACAAGGTTAATTCTAACCAGTGTACAAAAATAAACTATATTGTACGTTACTATTTTGTTTTGTTTATTACTTCAACAGTTCGGTATAATACGAAAACAAAACGGCTGAGTTCACTTTGCGATAGTACACTACAGTAGTTTAGTAGTTACAGACGAAACAACAAACGAAATAAATCGTGCAGAGAAAAATATATGTATGTATGTAGTACATGTTTTTTAATTGAACTGGATATGAAAATTTACAGAAAAAAATATTTTTCACGTAATTGAAACGTATGCATACATATAAAACGTACCCTATGGTACAATTGTCAAAAACGAAAAGCAAAAGTTTCTCGTTGGGGAAAATGACAGTGAATCTTACAATTTATTTCTGACTATGTACAAAACTGTACAAAACCACAAATGATATGGGAATTGTTTTGTACAGTTTATTTTCGTACCCTGATTCTAACTTTCGTTTTCAATTATCCTTTTCGAACATGTCAAAAATGTCCTATAAAGACATTATCCTTAAAGATGTTTAATTTTGTATCCATTATGAAAAATGTTGGTTTAATTTAAATCCTATAAATATATATAAAAAATTGAAGGATAACCATTGCTAAGGATATTTTCCTTTAAATGATTGTTTCCATTTCCTTGGCAGGAATCTTGCCGTTCTACTAAAAATGTGAAGATTGCAGATTTACTAGATATGCGTGCAAATATGGGAAACATATCGAATATTTCGCATATCCAAAGTTTTCATGGATGATTAATTCAAGTTACTAACTAAAAGTCGGCACGGGCTATCGTTATCCTACGGCCATAAAATTTCATACAAATGCTATTTGGCCTAAAAAGCACAAATACAGATCAAAATTTGCAAACAATTTTCCCATACACTAGCCGTTTTTTTTACACGCATACATACGTGTGAAAAAAACAAGCATCGACAATTTCCATTTGAAAACAAGTAATTTAGATTTTATCGACAACTATTCATAAACGCACATAAAGGTTGTCGCTTACTGCTCCATAAAAATTTTAAGCGCAGATACGTATGCGTGTAAAAAAAACATGCCTATTCTTGGGACAGTCTAGTATGCATATACAATTTTGGAAAAAACATATTTTTTATGTTCTGGGACACGCTAATGTACATTTACATACACATATATTTGTGTATATGTACAATAGATTCTTCGAAGCTTTTAATACTTAATCCGAAATGATGGGCTCCTTCTTAAAAAAAGTGAAATGGAGTAATAATTTGTTATACCTGTCACCCTATTATCGAGATATGTAATATGATGTTTACTATATGTAGATACATATGTATGTATATTAATTTATTTAAGCTTTTACTCACCTTAACGTAAGTGCGTTCTGTATCGACCAATTCCAAGATAACCTTGCGCAGTTTCTCGGCATCGGTAAGCTGACGTGACGGTGTCAGTGCGGCATTCGAGACTGAAGATGTGACAGAGCCGGTCGGGCTGGATTTACGGGTTTCCTGAGGTGAACGACAAAATCCGGTAACCTTCAATCAAGCGTTTCCATCGACACAAATAGTCAACGATGAAGACGATGGAAGAAGGTTGATTGATGTTTTGGTTTTTTTTTTTTAAATTTAATTTATGTTTGTGCATTTCGATGTGCATTTGACAATCAATTTATGTTTTTGTATTTTTAGTTGTTATTCATGATTTAAATTTTGATTTATAAGTGATAAATAGTATTTGTAATGATATTTGTTGGTTGTAATAGTAGTAGAAGTGTTGTAGTTGTTTTAGTATTTTTTTTTTGTTGATTGTTATAATTTTTTTATTTGATGTTTTTGTTATTATAAAACGAGGTGTTTGCAAACAATTCATTTAATTGGATTCAATATAAGATGATATAAAAAAGTAGATGAAGAAAGAAAGAAAATTGTGAAGTTAGCAAAAATGTGAGTGGTGTAAATTTGTGCAAATAAGATTCATATAAAAGGTGAAAGTAAGTTCGTAAATGTGAAGTGATCGATTGCAGATGAAATACATTGAAAACACAATCAAAATGCCCGTATTTTCAATGGTGAATGGCTAAATTGGTGCGATAGTTTGCATTGTAATATTAAATATATGCTTAACTACATAAAAATCATGCAAGATATTTTAAAACACATTTCAAACTTTGTACAAAAATTAGAAAAATTCTTCTTGTTTTCACCGAAATTTCAAACTTTTTAATCAGAATTTTGGTATGCAGTTTTGTAGACCATTTAATTCTATTTAGCAACATTCAAGCTGCTATAAAATCCCGTTAATTTTTGTATTTTTTTTTGCCGGCAGTGCTTATATCTGCCTGATTAATTAACAAAATACTTAAATTTACATTGGAATAATTTTTTTGAACAAATATGTTAGTTGAAAAATTCCTAACCAGTCGTTTTTTTAATGGTGGTCAATGCGTTTTGAATACTGGGTAGTAAGTCGCCAGGAATGTTAAGCTCGATTTACGGCACAAAGGAGTTGTGTAATCGCAGCCATATTGAAAACAAGGATGGTTAAAGTATTTCAAACTCAGGGGAACAGTAATTTTCGGGCTTTAACCAAACTATACCCAAACGTTAGTATCCATTCGTGAAAGTCGAATTCTAAAAGGATTTCTTCCCAGCACATCCAATTTTTTTTCTAATGGTGGGCAAAATTTTCCGCTTTCAATTCCATTATTTTTCTTTAGGAAAAACTTTTGTTTCACATTTTTATTAATTTCTTAGAAGGTGCTTTCATAAAATTTTTTTTTTCATAACATATCCGACTGCTGATGGGAAGATCGACCTATTTTGGCAGCAAGTTCAAAAAAGGCCCTATCTCAAAAAAATTTCAAGAACGCCCTATCTCAGACTTCGGTCCAAAACACCCTATCTCACTTGAAAATGTGCTGAGATAGGCTGTTTTTGAATCGGCAGCCGAGATACGATATTTTCAAACCGAATTCTGAAATAGGTTAAATAAACAATTGGGTATTATTATTGAAAGTCTCTTGAAGAGAACCAGAGTTTTCCGATCGAAAAATATTGATTTTCAAGAATTCTATACCATTTGTACGAACAATTTTATTTTTCCCATATAAAAATACATGGAAAACTTTGAGCGACATCTAAATATTTTTTTGATTTCAAAATAAAAAAAAAAATTGGGGAATACTATTTTTTGAAATAGAACAATCCTAGGGGGTGAGAGCATAAAAATTCCAACTTCACTGTTTTTGGACCACCCTAATGCACAGTCATTTGCTAGTACATTTGCAGTGCCATGCAACTCTAGCACCATTAAAGTACTTTCTTGCCATGACATTTCCAATTCGGTTTGCGGTTTTGTGGTGCTCCTTTTACGCTACCACGCAGGGGTTACAGATCCCGCCGGAAGCAAACAGTGGGTGACAATCGCTTGGTCGAGTGTAAATAGAAGGTGTTTAATACGCATTTTTGCGGTAAGAGCAAGCTGCGGTAAAGGCAAAACAACAAAACTGCAACAACAACTACAGCGGCAGGATAGGAAGTGCATTTGACACTGACAGTTAATGGCTGCCAGGAAATCAGTAAAATGCTGTAGGTTAGAGGCAACAACACAGCGTTGGCGACACGTTCAAGACAGGACGACAGGACGACAGGTCGACAGTTTGACGTTTCGCTTTTACTATGTATGTATGTAGTTGTGTTGTTGTCTACTTGTAGCGTTTCTGTATTTGCTGTTGTGCTGCCTGTGCACATTACATAGCTGTCATTTTATAAAGCACCTTCTACTTAGGCTACATTCATACGAACACACTACATCTTACACTTGTCCTAACGCACCTTTGTAAGTGTGTATACGCTCACCTATGCCTCGTTTACCTCAACATCCTTCGCTGATTTTGGCACGAGAACACGACATACATATACGTTGAGACAAAGACAAGCCTGCTTTTTGTCAGTCAACATTTATGTGAGCGCGCGCAATTTCCTGCTCGAGTGCGAAGGAATGCATAGCATTCATTGCGGCACATTCATTGGTGCAACACTGCACTGCTGCATGCCACATGCCACATGCCGCTTGTTTGCGCTCCACTGCCTCTTGGCATTTTTCCTTTTACGCTTTTTCATTATGTAAATGATTTGCGCTTTGTTTCTGCTTCTTTGGCAGCGTTCATTTGCATAAGCTGCCTTCCACAAGCAGCAGCATTCAGAACGATTGCTTTACTGCATCTGCGGCGAGAGAGTGCGGGCGCGCAAGTGACAGTGCAAGCTCGTTGTTGGGCGGTTGCGCCGTTCATTGCGGTTACTTGGGCTGGAGGTTCACAGTCAAAGCTGCAGTTTAAATTTCGCAAATGGATTTACTAAAAATTACACTAACTACATAAATACATACATATACCGACTGCTCGAATGCAAGTATGTATGTACTCCCATGTATATTTGTCTGTCCGATTTCGGTGTGCAATAGCGCTGAGTCGCCGTGGCGCGGTTGCTTGTAAACGTCAACTTGAGATTAGAGTATCCACTTTGGTAGGTAGGCTATTCTTTCCTTTGGTGTTTAGATTATATATTATTTCCCCATCCGATGGCGGTGCGACCACACGGCAATATTATGTGGTTGTCAGTTTATCGGCTTTTCCATACCACTTTTAGATTGTTTGTGTGTGTGTGTGTGTGTTCGCTGTGTGAGTAAGGTTCACCTATTTACTAAAGTGTCATTAAAGGAAGTGGACTCTCGGCTGGCTGTCAGTACTTCTCTCTAGTCCTTGGAAGCTGCGGCTGCACAGGAAAAAATTTAAATTTGTTTGCCTCGTATCGCGTAGTATACTACCGTTATTTTGTTTTATTATTGTGCCGAGCTTCTTGGCGTTGTTATGGAAGTCGGATATGCGCTTAGGCCGAGGGAGAGGTGCAAGATAAGGTATGGATAAGCAGAATCTTCATCTGTCACTTAGGAATGTAACTATAACAAACATCTGGGGGAAATTTGAACATTTCCTGTGAAAAAATGTGATATATGACACCGCCACCCTAAGTGATCCCTGAATCTAGATTAGCCACAACCAAAACATATCCCTTGGAAGAAGCTTCCTAAATCTTTCTAGAGTTGTTATATGGCAGGCAAGCGCAGAGTAAAATCGCTCTGTGGTCATCGCAAGAAGATATAAGGACCCAGTGTGAAGACCCCCGTGGCAAGGTAGCAACGAGCTGTCACTTAAAAACCACACCTTGTATTTGGGAGCAGTTGAAAACAGTAAGTAAGCTGGTGTGGAAGTGCAATGTTAATGAAGCTGTGAAGAAGACCAGTAACGCCCTTTATGAATGTAAAACAATGCTGGGAGTAACTTGGGGTATCTCACCCGGTCTGATGCATTGGTGCTACACAGCAATAGTCAGACGAATACTGCTCTATGGCGCTTTGGTGTGGTGGAGTGCCGCAAAAAAGTCATCACATCTTAGGCCAAGGTTCAGCGATTCGCGGCGCTAAGGTCCGCTCCAACGGCTGCTCTAGAAACGATCCTCACTTTATCGCCCATTGACCTATTCGCGGAAAATCGTGCTGCTAAATCCGCAGTTAGATTGACGGCCAAAGGGGAATTCAATTTCAGAACCTTTGGGCACAGCTCAATAGGGGCGGGAAGCTCAGGCAGCATGGACTACATGGCGCCTAGCTTTAAGTGGGAATGAGGGATTCGCACAACGACTGAGGGAGAGGGATGGTGCAAGGGAGTGAAACCTAGCCACAGATCCCTAAACTTTTTCTCGGACGGCTCTAAAATGGCAACGGGAGTGGGTGCCGGGATTTACTGCCGGAAACTGTACGTCAGGCGGGCAGTAAGGTTAACTGACCATTGCAGCATATTTCAACCAGAGGTTTTCGCAGCAGAGCTAGCCTACACCTAAACGACAATTAATTGAAAAGTAAACCTATAGATACTTACATAGTTAGGCGGCAATTAAGGCAGTTACCTCTTATAATATTTCATCCATAAACGTCCTTCGCAGCCGGGAAGCCATTGACAGGCTGGCCGCCGACAGAAGGCTGCATATCTATTGGGTGCCCGGCCACAAGGGAATAAAGGGTAATCAAATAGCAGATGAGACTGCATAGAACGCTACCGGTCTGACTCTCGAACAGAAAGAAAAGTGCAAATCTATGTGCGAAAACGGCGGTAGCAACTATACTCGCTTCTTGTTACGGCTATCAAAGGACTGCAGAGTAAATACCAGATTGCTTACGGAGCATATCGTGGTGGCTGCTCATACACGAAAAATGGGTATCACTAGCGTGGACAGGTGCAGTAGTCTCGTGAGCGGGAGACCAGGTAAACTTTGGATCATCTTCTCTACCGATGTCCTGCACTATCAGAAACACGACTAAAATCCTTTGGAGCCTCCCATTTCGAGAAGTTAGAGGACATCTCAAAAGTAGAGCTAACCTAACCTGACGTAACCATCGCTGCTCTTAGCAATGTAGTAAGCCCTAATGGCAAGGACATGAAGAAAATTTATCGCAAATTCTGCCAGCTTCACTTGGGGCT